GCGATCTAATTGATTAACTTTATTCGTTAATAACTCTGTAAATAATGGTCTGAGCCAAAATTGAAAGAGGAACTTTTAGTTCAAAATTTCATTCTCTTTCACGCCTTGAAATATTAATTAAGCGTTACGGGACACCCTGTATATGGCTTTTGCAACTTTTGCAACGTTATATAGTGTCATGCATGCGATACAATGATGATAATTATATATAATTTTATTTTATATTGTTTTTTTACAAATTTATTATTATTATTTGAAATATTTGAAGATTAATTATCTTATCTTTGTTTATTATACAGAATGTATAAACACCCACTCACCTGAAGATTGAAAGAAATACTATGATATATTTTTCTCCGTTGGAATGCAAAATTTTTTATCACTATGCACAATCTTAGCAGCTTTTTCTTAACAGATATAATTATTTTCCACACCTTATCTTTATACTCAGTTAATATCGCTTCACACATTCACAATATATGGCTATATATACTAAGCCTGCAGAGCATACCTTTATGTCTCTAAGGTATGTATGTATTTGTATTTCGCATAACCTCTTTCTCTCTCGTGAGCATCTCAGCCAATAAGGTATTGCGGTGACTTGCGGGCAACTAAGAAGGATGGGGAGAGGACACGTTGCACACGGGACGACAGGACAAAGTGAGTGACAAACGAACAACTACCGATATTTTTGCGTGGTCAAAGTCACTGAAAGAAAAGTCACCGTACAGCACGATTTTAGCTGCGAAGAAGAAAGAAATAATAGTAGTCTCGACATCATGAACAGTGCAGTATATCGATCGTGTTGCGTGTTTAATTTTCGAGTATTCGTTAACTCGTTAATTACTTAATTGGATTTCGTTGGAAAGTATACTGTGGATACGTTTTATCAGGAAACAATATCCGTTCGCAAAATTATTACATCTTTGTCCATCACAGAATAATTGTCTCGAAGTTATATATGTATACCTATAAAGTCTCAAGCAATCGCATAAAACATGAAATTCGCATGTGTAAAATATTTAAAATCGTGTTCGCGTCACAATATTACGGAAATCATCGAGACAGCTTCATTCAAAAATTTCAACGGACAGGTTAAAAAAAAAAAAGTACAAAGTGATTTGTGACAGAAATGAAGGAGGAATATGTACTGCAAGAATTCACTTTGTTGAAGGTAAGTATACACGGATCAATAATAATTTCTATTTAATACAGATCTTTACGAAATACCAAAAATTGTTAAAATGCTTTAAGAAAAACGCAGTGCGCGTATAATTTATATATATCCGCGACATATCTGGTACATATTAATAAAATATGAATATTTAATTTTTTTAATTTTAAAATATTTTTTAAAAAATAGATTGAACGTGTTTTTAAAATATTTGTAAACGTGTTTTTTGCATTAATTTTGTATTTATTTTACATATGTGTGTTTTACAGTCATCATTTACAATGTTATAATTATGATGTAATTTCAAGGTGTATTTTACTTTTACTCAGCTCACTTCTTTTATAATACAGTTTTATTTGGTTGTACATAACTCATCACGAGAAACGAGAATACAAAGGTAAAGTAAGATACATAAAGAGAGGATTTTCAACGCATAAGATGCGTTCCCATGAACACGACAACTAAGCCTGAAACGTATAGATGGCGCGAACTAACAAAAGTAAAAACGAAAAAATAATACTGTTTCAATGTATATTATATCAATCTGCCATTGATTCTTAACAAATTATATGTAATATAAATTATTACTATAAACTAATTTTAAAAAGCTATATGTATTCTCTCCAGGGATGTGTTATATAACGAACTTCCACGTCTTTCTGTGCAGTCTGCAGTACAGTGTTTTGATTGTTTTAATTGTATCAAATTATAAATTTAATTAGGTTTTTATACATCAATTAGGTTTTTATTACCTCTTGTTACCATATAATACATAATAAATAGAATGAATTTGTTTATATTTTACTGTATACAATTTTGTATAGGCACTCTCATATATGTATATATACATTCTTTTTTCTTCCTGCGGGCTAAACCGACAAAATTTGAAAAATTATTCCCTACATTTCTGCCCGTGAAACAATGTTAATAGAGATCATTTAAAAATTTTAAAATATTTTGAAAGTACTTACAAAAATTTTAATACATCCTTTTTGAACAAAAATCGCTATTTTTTTGTGTCAGTTCAAAAACCTGGTAGATCAAAACTGTTTCGCAGCCGCGAGATTGTTTAATTTGATTACAATCATTTAATAATATAATTAATTTTATAAAAATTATAATTAAAAAACAATATTTATTATCGTACATTGGCAAACATTCAATTTTTAGATACGCTGCCTAAAGCTAAAGAGCGAATGTCGAAAGAGAAATTAAAAAATATTCCTAAACATCTTATGGAAGATACGACGGATATCGAAAGCGATAAAAATGCTCGCCAGTTATCAAATAAAACAAGGGAGAAAGACGACATTGATGAAAAGGAACGCCAAGAAAATGTGAGAAGAATCTTGCAGAAAAAAGTATCTCCAGTCGGAGCTACAGTACTAACTGAAAATCTTATTAACCGCAAGAATCCATCTGTTGAGCTTATACGACACGAACCGGTAAATACCACTGTCGATTTACAGGTAAAGTTTAATTGTCAAATATAATATTTATAACATATTTTCAGTTACTGAAAAAGAGGAAAATAGTCGACGATGAGAATAAAGACGCTAATAAGAAGGTAAGTGTAAAATACATAACATATTTATATATAATTAAATTATTGAATAATTACTAATTATTTTTTAATTTGTAATCAAATTCAACGTAATTACTAATTAAATTTGTAATTATAACCAATGTAATTAATAATTAAAATGTATTTAATTACAATAAAATTTAATAATATGGAACATTAATTAAAAAATTGGAAAAATGTTTAAAGACTTCGAAGATTTGTTTTAAAATTTACAAAACTATTTTCAATTATGTATAAATGTAAAAAAATCGGAATTTTGTTTTAAAGATTACAAAATTAATATTAACAGTTTTTTATGTTATTTTGTAAAAAATGTAATTCAAGCTGATTGTGAGTATGATAACTTTTAGATTATCAGGAATTTATTCAGCAAATTTTAATAGCAAATATTTATGCATATCATTTTTTTACTTAAAAATAACTTTATTACAGTCTTAACAACTTAAGACGAAATGATGTTTTAAATAATGAACGTAATAATTAAATAGTATGCAAATGATCTCTTGAAATTGACATTTATTTTTACTGATGTTGACTTTAGCAATAACTCTTTATTAAAAATAACTGTCGGTTATTCTGCCAATAAAACGAGGTAAATTAAACATTATGACGTTCAAACGTGTTTTTAAATATTATAGAGATTTTATAAACAAATTTCCATGGTATTTCAACATTTTCCCAATTTTTAAACAATATACCAAAATATTAAACTTATTGAAATTAAATGCATTTTATTTACTAATAACTTTAGTTTTAATTAAACATGAAATTAGTAATAAAATTGGTTTCAATTTTTTTGTAAAAAAAATAATTATAAATAAAGTTGGATTGAATAACAAATTAAAAAGTAATGATATCAAATAAGTAAAAATTACTTTAAAAAATTTAATTAGTAATTAAATTAAATTTTTTAAATTTAATTAGTTACAAATTTATTAAATTTACGTAATTTAATTACTAATTACATTTTTTAAAGTAATTTTTACTTATTTGATATCATTACTTTTTAATTTGTTATTAAATCCAACTTTACTATTATAGTTATTTTTTACTCCCGACTGCCGCCAACCGAAGGTTGGCAAAAACGGAGGGAGTATGCGTTTCACCGAGCCAAATCGGTTGTCATCAGAGATCTCCATAATTACAATAC